CGCCCGAGGCATCAACGCGTCCATCCAGCGGCTCACCGGCAAGGGGGACGAGGAGCCCCAGCCGGAGGCGCGCGGGGCGGGCAGGGTGCCGACGGCGCCCCGCGCCGTGCGGGCGCCCCTGCCGCCCGCACGCCCCGCTCTCGCCTCGCCGCGCCTCGCCTCGCCTCTCGGCCTCGCTCGGGGCTCCCTCCTCCTTCCTCGCTCTCCTCGCCCTCTCTCTCCTCGCCCTCGCTCCTCGTCCCCTCTCTCCTCCCCCCCTCCTCCCCGGTCTTCTTCTTCTTCTCTTCTCCTTCTCCTTCTCCTTCTTGTCGTCGTCTCCTCGCCCTTCTCCTCGTTCTTCTCCTCGTCGCCGTCGTCGTCCTCGTCCTTCGATCCACGATCGAGGATCGACGTGTTTGGGCGTTCTCGTCCCTTTTTGGACCTCTGCGGGAGCCCTCTGCGGATCTCCGGGAACCACCTGATTACGAAGCAGTCGGCCCCTGCGCTGGGCTTATTTGAAGCTGTTCTCGGGCCTTGCCGGCGCCCCTCTTCACTGTTATCCGCAATCGTGGGGGCTATGGTGCTGCTCCGTTCTGTCGCGCCCTGCTCAACGGACGAAGAGCACCGAGCCTGTTTTCCTTCCTGGTTGTTCTTGCGCCGTTTTTCGCCGCGGCCAACTGTGATGCACAGCTTCTGCTGTGTTATCTCCAGAGTGGATTGTCCTCTTCGCCTTTCTTGCTGGCTGGCGCACGTGCCCCGAACGATCTTGCTGGTCCCGCCGTTGTTTTGTCGCATTTGTCTCAGCCTAGCGTCGTTCGAGGCTTGTCAATAATTTCTCTAAAGCTAGGTTCAGCATGCGATGTTACTGTAATCGGCTTTCTTGAGGCCTGCGATTCGCGTGCTTGTTCTGGGAAGTCTGACTGTGCGCTCGTCGCCGCAACACGATCAACAAGTAGGCAACAACGAAGCTACGGACAGAGATAACACACGTAAGATGGCTCAGAGGAACAGACAGGTCATCGATGAGGACGACCGCGAGCGGCAGGCGAAGGAGGCTGGCGCACAGAGGCATGGTGATAGCATTCGCCATTAGAATTGGCGATAAGAGTAACACGTATGATGGGGAGAAGGATGGGGAGGACACGGTGGAGCGGAGAGTGGGAGGATGAGGGGGAGGAGGAGGAGGTGGAGGAGGAGGAGCAGAGGAGGAGGAGGAGGAGGAGAGGAGGAGGAGGAGGAGGAGGAGGAGGAGGAGGAGGAGGAGGAGTATGGGAAGGAGTATGGGAAGGAGTATGGGGAGGAGGAGGAGGAGGAGGAGGAGGAGGAGGAGGAGGAGGAGGAGGAGGAGGAGGAGGGGGGGGAGGAGGAGCGGGAGGGCGACGTCATCCTCTTCGTGAACAAGTTGTTGACGCGGTGCACGGTCATACACAGTCGGCTGGCCTAACAATGGCTCTGAGCGTAGAGTAGCATATCAAAGAGCAAGGAAGATGGGAAGTGGAGGGAGAGGGGAGGAGGAGAAGGGGGGGCGAGTACGACGAGAAAAGTGAGGAGGGAGCAGGAGCAGGTGGAGTAGGGACCTTCCGCCGCACGAGGCAGCGCCGTGTGCGGAGGACGAGAACTGGCACGAGGAAGAGAACTGGCATGACGGACCGGCCAATCCTCTTCGCTTTCATCTTTAATGTGTTCCCTCGGATGTCCTCCCTCCCGCCCCCTTGCCCATCCCCTGTCGCCACTCCTAGTCTCTCCATCCCCGTCCCCTTCTTTCCCGTCTGCCATCTTTCCCATCCCCGCCCCCAACCCCTCCACCTCCCGCTTCCTCCCTCTGCCTTCTCCCTGTGACAAGCAGCTGGACCTGCGACTTGGATCTGGCTTGAGTGTGGAGCCTGCTGGGTGACCAGTGAGCGAACATGCAGTATTTTTGGGGAGCGATGTCGATGCTGACATACCGCGTGCGGCCCGCCTAGCGATCCCGCTGCCCAGGACCGTGCGGGGGTGAGACTGTCTCGCGGTGGCGGCGCCCGGGTCCTCAACGCGACCTGCGCCTCGCCCCAAGATGTCAGCAGCGCCTTCTGCGATCGTGCATCAGAACACTGCTCCTCGTCGTCGTCGTCGTCGTCGTCGTCGTCGTGGTCGTCGCCGTCGTCGTCGTCGTCGCCGTCGTCGTCGTCGTCGTCGTCGTCGTCGTTGACGTTGGAGGTAGTTACCTCCTCGTCGTCTGTCGTCTGTCGTGGTCGTCGTCGTCGTCTGTCGTCTGTCGTCTGTCGTCGTCTGTCGTCTGTCGTCGTCGTCGTCGGCGTCTGTCGTCTGTCGTCGTGGTCGTCGTCTGTCGTGGTCGTCGTCCCCTCCCCCGAGCAGCCCGCAGGAGAGTGGGAGGCCGGCAAGGGCCGGCCCGCGGAGGGCGGCCGCTGGCCCGCGAAGGGCGGCTACTGGGCCTCGGACGCCTGGTCTCAGCCGCCGTCGGCGTCGACGTCGTCGTCGTCGCCGTCGTCGTCGTCGCCGTCGTCGTCGTCGACGTCGTCGTCTGTCGTCGTCGTCGTCGTCGTCGTCTGTCGTCGTCGTCTGTCGTCGCCGTCTGTCGTCGTCGTCGGCGTCGTCTGTCGTCGTCGTCGTGGTCGTCGTCGTCGTGGTCGTCGTCGTAGTCGCCGCCGTCGTCGTCGTCGTCGTCATTGTCGTCGAGCGTCGAGGAGGGATCGAGGTTCCAGGTTTTGTCGCGTGGTTGTTTGTTTCTGCCCCCCCACTGCGCACGCCACTGATTCACGATTCATACGCTGGCTCCCTTTTTTTTTCTTTTCCGATCTGGGGTCTGGACGCGGGGTGCGCGGAGCTTCCTGATCTCTCCGGGCGCCCTGTCTGTAGCAGAACCCTCCTGGTTTGGCTGAGTTCTCGCCTAGTGAGGTCGTCATTTGCTCTGAAGTTTGTGGGTGTGCGCACGGTGGGTGTGGGGACGGCACCGAGTTCTGAGGTTCCGTTGTAGCCATCGGGATGAGGTAGAGTGGGAAAGCGCGCCACTGAATCACCCTGTAGTTGAAAAAGGGGGGTGAACTCGCAGAACCCCCCCCCTACCCCCCCTTCAAAGGGGTGGTGAGATTTTCGACCCCCCTCCCTCCCCCCCCCCCTTGAGGGGGGGAGGGGGTCCGACCCCCCCCCCCTCCCCCCTTGGCGCTGGAAAGGGCGGCCCCCCTTTGCGCCGAACAGGGGGCCGGAGAGAGGGCCTCACCCGCAAAGGGGGATAGTGAGTAGAGAATAGTGAGTAGTGAATTGTGCGTAGTGAGTAGATGGGAGCGAGTAGTGAGGAGTGAGGAGTGGGTAGTGAGTAGTGCGCAGTGGGTAGTGAGTAGTGAGTAGCGAGTAGTGAATAGTGGGTAGCGGGGAGTGGGTAGTGAGTAGTGAGTAACGAGTAGGGAGTAGCGAGTAGTGAATAGTGAGTCGCGAGTAGGACAGTGTAAGTGGTGCGTAGTGAGGAGGGATTCGCCAGTAGCGAGTAGGGAGTAGCGATTAGCGATTCGTGAGTAGTGCGTAGTGGGTAAAGAGTACTGAGTACTGAGTAGTGAGTAGTATAGTGAGAAGTGAGAAGTGGGTATTGAGTAGTGAGTAGTGAGTCGTGAGTAGTGAGTCGTGAGTAGGGAGTAGTGAGTAGTGAGAAGTGAGAAGTGAGAAGTTGGAATTGGGTAGCTGGTAGTGGGTAGTGCGTAGGGACTAGCGAGTAGTGAGTAGTGAGTAGTGAGTCTTGAGTAGTGAGTAGTGAGAACTGAGTAGCGAGTAGAGGTACTTGAGAGTAATGAGTAGTGAGTAGTGAGTCGTGCGTAGTGGGTCGTGAATATTGCTTATTGGGCAGCAAGTAGCGGGTAGGGGTATCGAGTAGTGAATCGTGAGTAGTGATGAATGTCTAATGGGTAATGAGTAATGTGTAGTGAGTAGTGAGTAGTGGACAGTGAGTAGTGTTTGCGGAGTAGAGAGTATTGAGTAATGCGTAGTGCGGAATTGGCATCAGGGAGTAGTGAGTAGTGAGTAGTGGGAGCGTAGTGAGTAGTGAGTAGAGAATAGTGCGTAATGGGTAGCGAGTAGAGTGTAGGGAGTAGCGAGTAGTCAGTAGTGAGTAGTGAGTAACGTGTAGGGAGTAGGGGGTAGCGAGTATCGACTAGTAGATTGTGAGTAGTGCGTTGTGGGCAGTGAGTAGCTAGTAGTGAAGTGTGAGTAGTGAGCAGTGAGTAGTGGATAGTGGTTAGTGGGTAGTGGGTAGTTTTTTTTTTTTCTGATTAGTGAGTAGTTGGTAGTGAGTTGTTTTAGCGAGTAGCGAGTATAGAGTAGTTGGTACTGAGTAGTGGGTAGTTTGTAGTGAGTCGTGAGTAGGGAGTAGGGAGTAGGGAGTAGTGGGTAGTGGGTCGTGAGTAGTCGGTAGTGGGTAGTGACTCAGTCGTGAGAAGTGAGCTGTGAGTAGTGCGTAGTGGGTCATGAGTAGCGAGTAGCGAGTAGTGGGTAGTGAGTAGTGCGTCATGAGTAGTGAGTGCTGTTCGGGCAAGGGTTAGGGTTTGGGGTTAGGCTTAGGGGTTAGGGTAAGGGTGAGGATTAGTGTTAGGGTTGGTGAGGGTCGGGTTTCGGAGCTCGGGGGCGCCGTGGCGAAAGGGGGGGAGGGGGGGCGGGTCGAACTTGGCGGCCAAAGGTGGGTTGGAGGGGGGTTCGGACCCCCCCCCCCCTCCTTTTTGAAAGGGGGGGGTCCCCGACGACGGATCGGAACGGGGGGGAGGGGGAGGTGTCCCGACGACGGTTCGGGAAAGGGGGGGGGGTCCCTGTCGGCGGATTGGGGGGTGGGGAGATCCAGCGGCGCATCCTCGTAGAGTGGGGCGGTCTTCCTTCCCGCGAGGCCATCAGGGCGTTCTGGTGATCGGAGAAGGGCTTGAACTTTTAACTATCCATCACCACGACGACGTGTAAGCTCGAGTGGCGCAGTCCGAGATTCCGCTGTGATCATGTGATGCAGAATCAATGCGTCCCACTATGCATGTCCAGCAACAGGAGTATGAGGAGGGATGAGGGAGAGACGGGTGGTGATGAGGGGGAGGAGGAGGACGAGGAGGAGGAGGAGGAGGAAGACGAGGAGGAGGAGGAGCAGGAGGAGGAGGAGGAGTCAGATGAGGAGGAGGAAGAGAAGGAAGAGGGTGCGAGGTAGGAACATGAGGAGGAGAAGCAAGGAGGATGAAGTGGAGGAGCGGGACGAGGAGGCGCAGAAAGAGGAGGGCGAGGGGGGAGGAGGAAGAGGAGGAAGAGGAGGAGGAGGAGGAGGAGCAGGAGGAGGAGGAGGAGCAGGAGGAGGAGGAGGAGGAGGAAGAGGAGGAGGAGGAGGACGAGGAGGAGGAGGAGGAGGACGAGGAGAAGGTGGGTTGGTAAGGATGACTCCGGGGCCGTCTGGGGGCTTTCTGGGGATCGTATGGGGCCATCTTCAAGTCTCCTAGGAGCCCCTTGGGCTTGGGGGCATCTTGGGGAGCTCTGTGACCATCTAGGGCTTCCTTGAGCCGCCTTGGAGCGTCTTCGGGCTCTTTGGAGCGTTCCCTGGGCTGTCATGGCGCCGTCTCGGGCCGCGTCTTCAGGCTTTCTTGGGCCGTCATGGATGTCGTGAAGGCCTCCTGGGTCTGCATCCACTCGTTGTGGGCGTTTTTGGACGCCCAAGAAACCATGCTGAGCGGAGCAGCCGAAGGAGCCAATGCATTAAACAACTCAAAGGGGTCCAAGAATCTTGGCAGCCCAGGGCCTTTCTTTGAGGCACCTTGGAGCTTCACTTTTGTGGTCACCTGAGAGCTTCCGGGGGCCTCTTCCGGGTTTTCTGATTCGCGCCCATGGATCCGCGGCCACCGTTCTCGAGAAGGTGTCGGCGGGGTCCCAGGCCGTCTTGGACGCCGCTCGAAGCCCCGAGAGCCTGCTCTCCACGGAGGGTGCCGCCAGGGAGCCGGGCCCGTCGGCGGGGCGCCCCAGCGTCGCGCGATTTCACGTCGAACGATTGCCCTGCCGGCCACGAAATCCGATGGTTTGACGATCGCTGCCGATGCCTGCAGATGCACGGCTACAGTGCGGGGTTGGACAAGAGTTATGTCGTCCCGTTGAGCAACAACGTCGATCATACTCAAGCCAGATTCCGCAACGGCAGGTACTGAGTGCTGCGGCGCTGCATGCCCTTCCCCGTTCAGTAGGGCGGAGAGCGTTGACGAGGAGGAGGAGGAGGAAAAGGCGAAGGAGGAGGAGGAGGAGGTGAAGGAGGAGGAAGGGAAGCAGGAAGAGGAGGAGGAGGGGGAGGGGGAGGAGGAGGAGGAGGAGGAGGAGGAGGAGGAGGAGGAGGAGGAGGAGGAGGAGGAGGACCAGTGCAAAACCAAGGCTCGTCAACCAGGCTGAAATAAACGCTCCCTTCTAGTTCCCTCTTCATAGATCCCTACGAGACTTTATTTTTACTGCTGCTTGGGCGCTCTTGGGGCCGTCTTGGAGCTCTTTTGGGTCTCTCCAGGGGCCCTCTTGGGTCATCTTGAAGCCATCTTGAGGCCTCGGACGGCCATCGTGAGCGAAAAGGCGAGACCGCAAAGACAATTATTTTTTCCCATGGTTTGGGCGGATTTTGGCTTCCTGGAGGCCTCCTTGGAGGTCTCGGAGGCGTCTTGGAGCCGTCTTGAAGCGTTCTTGGGGCTTCTGGGAGCCTCTTACGTAGGAGCCGGCTTGAGGCATCTTGGGCTATCTTGAGCCATCTTGGAGGTCATATTGGGCTCTCTGAGGCCCTCTTGGGGCAATCTTGGGCAAGCAGGTGCCCTCTGACACCTCGCGGCGTGCCCCGTCCAGGTCCAGGGGAGGGGGGAGGGGGGAGGGGTAAGTCCCTCCCCGATGGGGAAGAATGGGGGTTGGAAAATGGAACTCTGTAGACCACCTACGCCCAGGGGCCCAGAGGGCTGGTGGGACTTCAAAATCGTACGTGGTGATGAAGTCTCAGGCAAACCATCCAGCCCGCCCTACCGACACGCCTCGGGGTGCGACAGGGATGGGTTCTTCATAAGGGGCCAGGATGGAGGAGGAGGAGGAGGACGAGGACGAGGAGGAGGAGGAGGAGACGTAGGGGAAAGAGGAGGAGGAGGACGACGACGAATATGAAGATGATGACGGGGACGATGGTGAGGAACAATGAAGGCGAGGAGCAGGACAGGGACGGCCAGAACTCTTGGAGCCATCTTAGAGTCTCCTGGGGCCCTCTTGGGGCCCTTGTGGAAGGTCCTGGGGTCCTCATAGTGGTCAGTTGGAGGAGCCACAGCTCTGGGCCCACCGCATGAATAGAGTCAGCCAGTGGCGCTCTTGTGTTCGTTTCCGACAAATTTGTTCCCCATGTGTGCCCCTCCCAGCTCCGTTCAGGGCCGATGCCTCCTGGAGGCGCATACATACATGCATGCGTGCATACATGCATACTTACATACATGCACACCTACCAACTACCTACCTACCTACCTACCTACCTACCTACCTACCTACCTACCTACCTACCTACCTGCCTGCCTGCCTACCTACCTGCCTACCAACATACCTACCTACCTACCTACCTGCCTGCCTGCCTGCCTGCCTGCCTGCCTGCCTGCCTGCCTGCCTGCCTGCCTGCCTGCCTGCCTGCGTACATACATACATACATACATACATACATACATACATACATACATACATGCATGCATGCATACATACATGCATGCATGCATGCATGCATGCATACATACATACATACATACATACATACATACATACAAACAAACATACATACATACATACATACATACACACATACGTGCGTACGTACGTACGTACGTACGTACGTACATACATACATACATACATGCATACATACATACATACATAGACACACCTGCACATATACATACCCACATGCATACATGCATCAGCATCACTGTCATCGGTCGCAACACCATCATACTCATCGTCGTCGTCATCATTGCCATCATCATCATCATCATCATCATCATCATCATCATCATCATCATCATCATCCCCATCACCATTATCAGCAGCATCACCATCATCGCACCACGAACCATACCACTATCATCATCTTCCTTGGAACCTCACAGAAAACACACACTCACCATCATCTTCAACAACACCACCATCAGCAGCATCACCGTTATCACCAACACCGTCAGCATCGCCAACATCAATATCGTCATCCCCTCCGCCTCTGTGCGCAGGTCCTGGGGCGGCGTCGGCTGGGACGACGGCTGGGACGGCTGGGACGAGCGGGGCGGTGGCCAGGACCCCAGCGGGGGCCACGCTTGTGGGCGCCGTTTCGCACGCCCTCATTTCGCTGCTGTTCTCCTTGCTCATTGTGCCCTCTTTCCCCCTGGAGGGGCTGGCCTTCTTTTTTTCTTCCTCCCTCCTCCCCATTTTCATTCATCACGTTCATCTGCCCTCCGCTTCTTCTTTCTCCTCATCTCCTCCTCCTCCTCCTCCTCCTCCTCCTCCTCCTCCTCCTCCTCCTCCCCCTCCCTCCTTCTTCCTCTTCTCTGGCAATGCCTTCGGTGCATCAAGTTAGGCGTCGCGTAATGGTGGGGGCCGATCAAAGGGGGAGGGGGTCAAGAAAGGTGCACCTATTGTGTCCCAGAGGGGCCCTGAAAAGGCTCTTCTGGGGCCCCACAGGCGCAGGAAAGGTGCACGTGTCTCCCCTCTCCCATGTGTCACCCCCGCTGAGCAACGCCCGATCAAGAAAGGATCGGTCGGGGGACCACACCAGGGAGTTCAAATTCATGCGCCAGTGCGCGAGGAAACCGACGCATGCTCTCGACGACATCGATATGAAGAAGTTGCAGGCAGGCGAAACGCCACGCCAGCCACATACAATACCGCATTTTGAAGACACAGCGGTATTTCGCCACGGGCAACACCCGAATGACTAAAAACGAGTCTCCACCTCCAGGGAAACAAATAACCAGACGATACCAGCACCAGGAACCCAACTTCAGTGATCCTGCTGCTGCACCCCTTCTTCCTTCCTCCTGCTTCTCCCCCTCCACGTCATCCTCTTTCCTCTATCATCATCCCTTTCCGCCTCCCTCTCGCCCTCATCTCCCTCCTTTGCCTCATCCTCTTCATTCCTCTCCTCCTGCTTCCTCCTGTTCATTTTTGTTCCCCTCCTCATCCTGCCCTCCTTCTCATATTTGTTCTTTTCCATCCCCCTCCTCGTTTTCACTCCCTGTCTTATTCTTCGTCAGCGGCGTTCCTCACCTGCGAGGAGGATGTGGAGGACGGGACGAGGGAAGAGAAAGTGAAGGAGGAGGGATGATCAGTGCGGCAGAGCCCTCCCCATACACCTCCCTTCTTATTTTTTTCCTCACCTCCTCCCTCTCTCCTCCTGCCTCTCCCCCTCCCCCTTCTTTCCTCCCTCTTCCTGTTTCTCGTCCCTGGTGTCCCGCCTCGCCCTGCTGGACGAGGCGGATAAGGAGGAACGTTTTCCTCTTTCGTCATCCTCTCCCCCTGCTCCTCCTCGCCCCCCTGCCCCCATTTCCCCTCGTCCTCCTCGCCCTCTCCCTGCCCCTTCCTTCTCCTCGCCGTCGTCGTCGTCCACGTCGTCGTCCACGCCGTCGTCGTCATCGTCGTCGTCGTCCTCCTCCTCCTCCTCCTCTTCCTCCTCCTCCTCCTCCTCCTCCTCCTCCCCCTCCCCCTCTTCCTCCTCTCTTCCTTTTCCGGAGACCCGCCCCCCCCCCCTCCCCGGAAATCCCGACCCGTGCCGCGAGGGGCCCCCTCTCCCTCCCGCGGCGTTCTCTGCGAGCGCCCCCGCGTGGCCCGGCGAGGTCCGCGCGGCGGCGGCCTGCCTCGGGCGTGGTCTGCGCTGTCCCGCCCTGCTCCTGCCCCACCTGCCCCCGCGGCCGGCGGGCCCCCGCCGGAGAGCACGACGGGGCTCCATCTTCCTGCCTCCTCCTCCCTCCTCCTCCTCCTCCTCCTCCTCCTCCGCGGCCTCCGCCTTGCTCCTCCGTCCTCCTCCTCCTCCTTCCCCTCCTCCTCACCCTCCTCCTCCCTCCCCCTCCTCCTTTCCTCCTACGTCCTCCCCCTACTCCTCCTTCCCTACCTCCCCTCCCCTATCCTCCTCCTCCTCTCCTCGTCTCGTCCTCGTCCTCCTCCTCCTCTCCCCCTCCTCCTCTCCTCCTCCTCCCTTCCCCTCCTCCATGCCTCTCCTCCTCTCCCCTCTCCTCCCTCTCCTCCTCCTGCCTCCTTCTCCTACCCTATCCTCTCCGCCTCCTCCTCTCCTCCTCTTCCGTCCTCCTCCTCCTCCTCATCCTCTCCCCTCCTCCTCCTCCTCCTCCTCCTCCTCCTCCTCCTCCTCCTCCTCCTCCTCCTCCTCCTATCTCCTCCTCCTACCTCCTTTTCGCGGGAGCAAACTCATCAGAGGACGCAGATGTGACGAGACGATCAATTAGGCTCCGCCCGGGGCCTGCTTGACTTTGGGGTTCTCCTCTTTTCGGCTTCCCGACGCTCCAATACGGCAGTCTTCTGGGCGTCCGAAGCCGCCTGGGAGGCTCCAAAATCGCCCCACAACCATCAACCATCCGAAAGGACCCGCAATTAGCGGTCGCGTGTGGCCACGCTTTCTCGCAGCTCTGTACGCGAGTGTGTCTGCCGCGTCTAAGTGCGCAATCTTATCGGCATCCATGGGTGAGGTGTTGGCGACCACCCGCAGCCAGCAGGCGGTCCGTCCGATGAAAGTTCGACCAGTGTGCTATAAGACGGAGTCGAGTCGAGAACTGTTTGTGGCACGCCTTGCACATTCCATCTTCGTCAGCATACAGCCGCCGATCAGTTTGCATGCCATGCTTGACCCGAGCGTGCGTCAACATGGCTTGGTGCGTGGCAAAACAACGTGTGCAACACATGCAAGAATGGGAGGCAAGCCCACTACTGCTCAGGGTGTCACGAGTCGCATCACACACAGGCGCAAAGAAACGAATGCTATGAACGATGTCCTTCCACTGCTGAACACTGTCAACCATGATGCTCCACCAGGGATTCGCCTCCACGGCAGGGTCAGGCAGGCCATTTCGGGCCGCCGTGGACACTCTGTAGCAGGATGACAGGTCCGCCCTCTCTTGTCTGACCCACGGTATCACTTGACGGGGCCCGTCCTCTCTGTCACGCCCTTGAGACAGCTAAGCAAGCATCGCATGACTATCGGAGCGGAGGAGACGAGCAGGGTACAAAAGTCTCTTCTGCAACAGTATGCAATCTATGGGCACCATGCCAGCATGCTCCCGGGCATGAGTGTCCGAACCCGCCGCTCCGTCGAAATGCACGCGATCACATATGCGACGCGTAACACGCATGTACACAGCATTGAGCACGCGCACCTCGCGAGCCTTCAGCACTCCGACGTGTGCATTGTACAGAAGCTTCGACAACACCAGACTATGACAGAACAACGTGCGAAGCGACACTTCGAGAGCCGGATTTCCAAACACCTTCCTGGCTATCGGTGCGTACGAAGACAGCGCATTGCTCGCCCTTCGGGGCACATCCGGGATGTCTGACCCATTCATCACCGTCACAGAACCAAGGTGCTTCTACTCAGAGACAAGATGCAGAAAGGCGCCGCCTTGCAGGGGGATCCCAACACCTCTCTGAGTACGACGTTTCATATAGTGGTCGGAAGCACCCGCCCCACGAAACTTCATGAAAGCTTCGGTTTTGCTTTTGTTCCAGTTAAGAAGGAAATGGAAGGACGATAATATCTCAACGAGCACATTTAACAGTGTGCGGGTGGCTTCCCACAGCATGCGGGGCGAGCGCGCAAACAACAGCACGCACAAATCGTCAACGAATTCGATGGCACTCATCTGAGCCATCCACCCAGAATGCGCCCTCTCGGCGTTTCAGACGCAAGGTCACACTGGCGCCTTGTAATCGCGATCCCAGAGCAATAATGACAAGAGCGTAAGCGTTGTTATTGCTGCGGCCTGGTACGGCGCAGTTTTGGGACTTCGGTAAAATGGCGGCGTACAGATCGATTGCATTTCTTAATGTGCCTATCATTGCCTTACCCATGTGATCAGAAGTCAGCAGCCCCCTGCTGTTGTCAGGGTCAGAACTGTCACCTTTGCCTTTGAACAAATCGACCATGCGACCGCCTTTCCACTGCACGGGCCACCTTTCCTCGTTCGCAACACGGTCACCTATGTCAAGCAATTTGACAGCCAGACTGGAGCCGCATGCCTTCAGAAGTTCGGCGCTGATGCGATCAGGGCCCAGGGCCTTGTTATCACTCAGCGCTTTAATCGACTCATGCACGCACGTGGGGTTCAGAACAAAAGGAGACTCAGTCCGCGCTCCAGGGCGCGACACCAGCTCGCTCTGACTGTACACCAGATTACCGCCGACAACCTCCATGGAGTGATGTTGCCAGCGGTTGCACCTTTCCTCTTCTGTCGTGGAGACGCTCCCGTCATGCAACTTCACGGCCTTACGGGGGCGCAGCTTGTAACCCGCAAGAGCCTTGACGACTCCGTACGTGCCTCTCAAATCACCCGTGTCAGCAAGTCGCTGAGCCTTGAAAGCAAGGCGTTCGAAGTGAAGAGCCCTGTCGCGGTCAATGGTGTCGCGAACCCCTCGCTGGATGACAACAATGCATCGGTAACGCACAGCTTTAATGCACCAGAACGACAGCCACGTGCTACGAATCTCAGCAAACCGAGCAGAAGCAACCCAACCAACTCCGCACACGCATTGGTTGCCTGGATGATCGCCGTGGTCCTGTCGGGGGCGCGGGGGTTACGACTCAGGGCACGCCGAAGTCCACAACATGAAACACGCATGCAGATACAATATTTCCCCCTGCTGTCTCGCAACGTGCATGACACGACGACAAGGGCCGAACTGTTGCAGCAATCCCCGCGCCCTGTCGAAGATCCACCCTTTGGACGGCGACTTCGGTGGAGACTCGAAGATCCGGCGTGCATGCTTCAACAGAAACGCATTGAATTCAGCAACGTGCTCATCGACAGAACAATCCTGGCCAGGCACGAACTCCCACACCGCACGTTTGAACTGGTCGCGGAGACGTGGATTGCCCAAGGTATGGGCATCGAGCAACACTGTGCTCTTCCTCACCACACGACTCTTACCATCAGCGATGTCTTCATCCGAATCCAGATTCAGTGACGCACTCACAGCACGGTGGTCCTCCCAGCTGCTCTTAGACAGGTCAACATCGCACAACACACGGCACGCATGAGCGCCACCGATCACGATGCACCCAACCATTTATATGCCTCCACGTGTAGCCCGTGTCAAACCACGTGGCCCCGCGTGTGCACCCTGAACAGATCCCACCCGTGCGTTGGCAGCCATCAGCACCACGACAGAATGACCTTTCTCAGTGGCACCGCCGACGTGGCGCGCAAGGGAATCCCAGAACGAAGCTTTCACCAGGGGGGCCACATGCGAACCCTGCCCCTACCCCCCACGATTTCCGAGGGGGAGGGTGGGGTTCTCTTTGTTCGGGAGCTCCCGAGCGAAGTGAACCCCACCCTCCCCCTCAGAAATCGTGGGGGGTAGGGGCAGGGTTCGCATGTGGCCCCCTATTCACTTCGCTGGGCGACTCGAACGACCGCCCATCGGCCCCTCCACCGACCAACAGCTTGCACGATGCGAGGGCCACGCGGCACGAACGACTCAACGACGCAGGGCCCATCACGCCGTACCAACAGTGGCGACCCAGAGCTCCCCTTCGCATCGGCACTGGGAACGAACACATCATACGAAGCACCCGTGTACTGCTGGTCACGCTGCACCCTCCCCTTTGGGATACCAGCGGCATGCCTCCCAGCGTGCAGAGAAGCGCACTCGAGTAGCCGGATCCGCTCATTGGCGGATAGATCTTGGCCAGACCACTGCCCATCAAGGAACGAGCAAACGTTGGCAGAACAACAAACGAATTCAATTGGTTGATCGGTTTGCGTCTTCTGGGGCCCAGGGAACGCCAGGGTCCCGGCAGGAGTCGGGGGGAGGAGGGGAGTCAGAGGCAAGGAACATTTTCTAGGTCCCAGGGCGGCTCCGTCAGCCTCTCCTGTTTGTCAGCACTTAAAATGAAGCGCGCACGGCGTTTCTACTGCAAGTGCACTCTCAGGCTCTTTCCTGCTCACCCTGCGATGCCTGTTCGCCGGGGCCCCACACAACTCCGCGTCGTCATCGAGGCCGCCTGCTGCGACCTTCGACGGCGACAGGTTTGGAGACGAACTGGACCTCCCCATCTTCCTCGGTGGCGATTTCGGTTCCGAAGCTGCCGCCTGCACGGCAGCTGCCTTCTGGGCCTCGGCCGCCACTTCGACGAGGTTCTGGTACAGCGTGTTCATTGCTGTTTTGGCATCCTTCACGATGTGGCTCGGGACGACTGGCGACGACTGCATGTCAGAGAACACGTCCTTCAAGGCGTCGAACATGCTCTGCAAACAGTCCCGACGACCACCGCCCGACAACGAGGTCACCTGCGTCTGGAGCCGCTTGTACTCGCTTCGCTCTCCAGCCTGGTCACGTCGAGCTTCGCCGTGCTCACTTCCTTCTGCGCCGCCGCGAGCGCACTCTGCGCTTTGAGGCGCCGCCCCTGTGCTCGCTCCAACGCCGCTGCACACGTCGACAGCTGCGCAGCCAGAGGTTTACTGAGCGTAATGGCACGCTTGGCCATGGCAATCTGCCCCTCCAAGTGCGAGCGCGTGGAGGCGAAGAGGCCGTTGTCGGGCAGCTCCCGCAACATGCCCTCCATGACCTTGGTATCGCATGAGCTTGGCACGGGCGGGACTGCTGTGTGTGCACTGCCCCCGCCACTCGTCGCGGCAGCTGGGTTGGCATCGACCGTGCTGGTCCCCCCTCCCTCCTCCCTCCTCCCTCCTCCCTCCTCCCTTCTCCCTCCTCCCTCGTCCCTCGTCCCTCCTCCCTCCTCCCTCCTCGGTCACCCCTATGCTGGTCGGAAGAGCCGGCCAGAAGTCCGAGAGAGAGAGAGACGGAGTGCGGCTGCGGCCGCCCGTGCTGCGGTTGCTGCCACTGGCTCTGCTGCTGCCCCTGCTGCAGCACAACTTGCCGCTGCTGATTCATCCGATGCTGCTGCGACTGCCGCTGCTGCCGCTGCTGCTGCTGCAGCTGCTGCTGGGACTGCTGCTGGGGCATGTGCTGATGCCGATGCTGGTGCTGCATTCCCTGCCCTCCAAGCGCGTACGATTTTGCAAAATCCTTCTTAACCCCGCGCTTCCAGCCGGAGAGCAGGACAGGGCCCGGGGGGGGGGTCCTGATGGTTTCGGCGACGGGCGAGGGGAAAATGAGAAGGAAAAGGCCTTCTCAGAAGGCGGCGGGACTTCTCAGAAGCCCTTGCGCTTTTGAGAAGTAGTTTTTTTTTCTGTCTTCGGGGAAGGCTCAGGAATTTTCTCAGAAGGCCGGGGGACTTCCGAGCCTTCTGAGAAGGCCCGCCACTTCTCACTTCCCCCCGCGCTCGCCGCCAATGGTTGTCCCGATGTTTCCCCAGACGTGCTTGCGTCGTTGAGAACATCAGGGCGGATGTTTCCTTCGCCATTCTCGGACTCCGTATGGGCCCTCGCCAGAAAGTGGGACCTTCCAAAGACGACTCACGAGGAGAAGCCAGCCCTGGGGAAGGCCGTCGGGACAACCATCGGGACAACCGTCGGGACAACCGAGAGATCTGTCGCGGGACGCTCCTCCTCTTCCTCATCCTCCTCTTCCTCCTCCTCCTCCTCCTCCTCCTCCTACTCCTCCTTGGGGAAGGGGTCGGGACACTTTCTAGGGACCGCGCATGTGCAAACAGAGTTCAAGACTTCGTCTGCCCGGGTCTCCCGATATAGCTGTTCCGACGGTTGTCCTAGCGGTTGTCTCTCGACGGGTGCCCCGGCAGGAGGAGGAGGAGGAGGAGGAGGAGGAGGAGGAGGAGGAGGAGGAGGAGGAGGAGGAGGAGGAGGAGGAGGAGGAGGAGTAAGAATAATAGGAAGGAATAGGAATAGGAATAGGAATAGGAATAGGGAGGAGAGGAGGAGGAGGAGGAGGAGGAGGAGGAGGAGGAGGAGGAGGAGGAGGGAGGAGGAGGAGGAGGAGGAGGAGGAGGGGGAGGAGGAGGAGGAGGAGGAGGAGGAGGAGGACGGACGACGACGACGACGACGACGACGACGACGACGACGACGACGACGAGAGGAGGAGGAGGAGGAGGAGGAGGAGGAGAGGAGGAGGGAGGAGGAGGAGGAGGAGGAGGAGGAACGAGGAGGAGGAGGAGGAGGAGGACAGAGGAGGACGACGACGACGACGACGACGACTCGACGACGACGACGAGGACGGAGGAGGAGGAGGAGGAGGAGGAGGAGGAGGAGGAGGGAGGAGGAGGAGGAGGAGGAGGAGGAGGAGGAGTGTCCCGCGACAGATCTCCCGACGGTTGCCCCGGCGGTTCTCCCGACGGGGGCCCCGACGGGTGCCCCGAGGACCGTTGCCCCGGCGAGTGTCCGGCCTCCGCCGGCCCCGGTTGGGGGAGGGGGGGCGCCCCGCAGGAGCAGCCCGAGGGCGGCTGGTGGGGCGGCGACGCGGGACCCGCCGGCGGCTCCGAAATGCTCCCCCGCCCTCACCGGGAGCTCGGGGCGATCGAGATGGGCACCTCTCCTGGGGTGCGCTCTGACCGGGGAATCTCGAGGCGAATCCAGCGGTGGCGCCGAGGGCCTCCGAGGAGGCCCAGAAAGGGGAAAGCGATGAAAGGGTAGAGGTATGGGTACTCCAGATTTCGTGACAAAAGGGAGGGGGTCTGGACCCTCCAGGACAAGCCATTTCAGACCTCCCCCGTGGGAGAACCCTCCAGAACATCGTCTCCAGACCCCCCCAGGCCCTCCAAGAGAGCCTGGAAGAGACCCCCCCCGAAATGAGACCCCCCTCCCTTTATTACGAAATCCGGAGTACGGCAAGCATGGGTGCAGTGCCCTGAGGCAGTTCCTGTTCATGTTGAGCAGGACTCGCTGTCCGCGCCGCCGCGCGGACCTCGTTCACTGAAGACGGAAAGCCGCCTGCCAAACAGCGGCCGCTGTCGGTTTGGGACACCACTTGTTGTTGGGCATCGTGCCAATTTTTTCCGTATCCGTTTTGGACGTCCAAATCTCGGGAGCCGCCAGGCGTGAACGGCCAGCGTGAACGTCGGGCTTCAAGAGGCGGGGGTCGATGCAAACAGGAGTCCGTCAGAGCGCCGGTTCTTGCAGGATCCTGCGGGGCCGTGGTCGCATCGACCTGGATCTGGGTGCAGGATCCTGCAGATTTTTCTCTTGCAGGATCCTACAAGGGCTGGCTGACCCGGGTCTGGATAGACCCGGGTCAGTAGATCGCCAAGGACGGGGGGGGTCAGGTTCGAGCCCGCGTGAATCAGGAGGGGACAAAAACACACAGACACAATTAATCGTCGATTCCCAGGAAAATATGGGAAAATATGGGAAGTGGGGGGGAAGACAGAAACCTCGAAAATACGGGTGAATATGGGGAATCTTTTTGTTTGTGTGTATTTATTTGTGTGTCCTGGGGCCCCTTCAGTGAACTGGGAGGGTGAGGAAAGGCTCCGGCCAGCGTGAACGGGGGGGAGGGGGCGGCAGGTTCGAGGTGCGGGGTCGACCGGAAGGTTTTTGGCAGTCTTCGATCTCCAGAGGCCGTTTTCGAGCCCCGGGGCCGTCAAACATGTGTCCAGGCTGAAGTGGCACCAGATGGACCGCAGGAGGGTTCTGAGCGGATGTGCCCTGAACTTGTCCCTCCTTCTTCTTGGCAGATCTTGAGGTCCATCCACTTCAGGTCCCCCAGCCGCCTCCTACTCCCTCTGCTCCCCCCTCTTCCTGTCGGTCGTTGAGGGTGGGCATTTCTGGATGCCCAAGTGCCACTCCACTGGAGGCACCTTCCTACTTCGAGAGTCGAGTGGTATTCCCTCCGCTCTCGTGCTCAGGGGGCGGGCGGAAGCCCAATCTACAGTGGAGGCCCATGCCAAGAAACACCCTGCTTGCCTTCAGTGGGTCCTGGGTCTCTTGGGTTTCGATGGTTTGGCCATAGAAAAGCGTGACGTCCCTGCGCCAACAAAATCGATGGACGTCCTTGGGTCTCAGGATTGGGTTTCTTGCGGAAGGTTTCTTGTGGTCGGGCCCCTACTGCACGCTAGGTTCGTGTCGTGTCAACCAGCGGCGACCCCGCCAGTGGCGTTCAACGTTGAACGCCGCCCGTCGACTCAGACTCGTTCGACGAGGAACGACTTGGACGTTTCGGAAACGGCCGATCGTTCAAGGTTGAACGATCCCCGCGGTGTCACAAGCCAACGCTGACGTCGGCACGACACGAACCTGACGTACTTTCAACGCCTTCCTACTTCATGTTTCTACTGCTTCTTCTGACCGACGTGCATCTTGGAAGGCGACTCTCCGCCCCCCCAGTGTCCCACGAGCGGCGACGGTACATCCGTGCCCGCGCCCTCGCGCCGCCGTATCACGCGGCCGCGCACGGGTGCGTTCCGCGCGGGGCACTCGCGAGGAAACGCCCCGTACAGCCAGCGCGCCATGTATCGAAGAAGAATGAACGCCAGAAACCTGAACTTTTGGCGCTCCGCGCGGATTTCTTGGATCCGCGTTGGGCCCCCCCCGGCGGCGCCTCCGGCGCCGCCCCTGGCGCGCACCGCGCGTCAGGGAGGGGGGTCCAGCGCAGATCTAAGAAATTCGCGCGGAGCGCCAAAAGTTCAGGTTTATGGCGTTCATTTTACCTCTGCAGTAAGGGCGCGCGCCTTCGTCTAGGGCCTAGGGCGCCCCTCTGTCCTTGCCTCTGCGGCCCGTCCTTTGCAGTTTTCACTGGTCGCCCGTCGCCCAAGAAGTACCCGCGTTGGCCTGCGAGGTTCCCGCGTCCTTGCCACCCGTCCTTGATATGCGCGCGCTTTGACTGCGTCCGCAGGGTCGTGGCCCGGGGGCCCGGCCCGCGAGGCCGCGGATGCGGACGTGCTTTTCGCTCGCGCATCCCTGGCTTCCCTGCCATCCACCGGGCGGCTCAGAAAGGAAGGGGAGCTCGGGGATACATCCCCCCAGAGATCCAATGTCTTGATTTTTTTCAACGCGGGGCCCCCCTAGAAGTCTCGACCCGTTCAGGGGGGGGTTTCATTCAGAGTCGTTCTTTTATGGGCCCAGGGGGCGGAAAACTGCTAGAAACCTCCGTCAGTTTTGTGTTGTTTTGTTTGTTTTCTTCTTCATTTTCAATGCGTTGCGTCCCTGGGCCGGGGGGGCTATGCAGTTGCACCCTCGTCGAGCATGGGGCCGCGCAGGGTCGGGGAATGGGGTCGTCATTGCCCCCCCCCGCCATGGCGCACCTCAGAGAGGTCTCCCCGCCTTCGGCGCTTCTCTCACCCTCGGCGGGAGGGTCGGCAGAAGGCCGGCGGGCGGCGCGTTGCGGGGGTAGTCCTCCTCCTCCTCCTCCTCCTCCTCCTCCTCCTCACTTCCTCCTTCTCCTCCTCCTCCTCCTCCTCCTCCTCCGCCTCCTCCTCCTCCGCCTCCTCCTCCCCCTCCTACGCTGCGCTCCTCCTCCTCCTCCTCCTCCTCTCTCCTCCTCCTCCCTCCTCCTCCTCCTCCTCCCTCCTCCTCCTCCTCCTCCTACGCTGCGCTCCTCCTCCTCATCCTCCTCCAGTCGGCATTCTGGCTCGCGCCGCGCCTCGCTGGGATCGCCCGCGGCGCCGCTGATGCCTCCGACGGCGGACGACCGCCGCGGCGCCCTGGAGGCGGCGCGCGGCGCTCTCCTGGCGGCCCATGCCGCGGCGGCCTCGCGACAGCGCGCGTCCCGCTCGGGCGCGCGGCTGCTGCGCGCGGCCGAAGGCCTGCTGCGAGCCGCGATCGCCGAGCTGGCGGCCTTGCAGGCCCCCCCCCCCCCGCTGGCGCTGCTGCGCCTGCCGCGCCTCCTCGGAGGCGGCGCAGGCCTCGCGGCCGCAGGGGACGGCGTGGCGCTGATTCAGGCGACGCCAACGGCGGCGACGGCGGCGATGCACGGCAGGACGAGGAGGGGCGGGGCGCTGGCGCGGCTGCCCGCACACCGCAAGGCGGGCCCCTGCGGGGTGCGGCGGCTGGCGGCGACGGCGCGGGAGGCGCGGGCTCCCGCGTGGACGTGGACCTGCTGGCTGGCGGCCTCCCCCTGCGCGACTCGGCGCCCGCGGCGCCTGGGCGCGCGTCGGCCGACGCTCCTCCGGTGCGGCAGCGGGCGGTGTCTGCGGAGCCAGCTCGCGGAGCTGTCGCCGCCGTGCCCTCGTCTGCCCCCGATCTCGACGACCAGTTCGCTGACGAGCTCCGCGTCGCGGCCCCCTCGGGGCCAGTGACGAAGCCTACACCCTCCTGCAGCCGTCCCTGGACACGCTGCTCGGGGTCACCGGGTCGGCCGTTCCCGCGGCCGAGGCAAACCTAGTAGGCACTACGCGGCACCATGCGTCGTCTTCTGATGACCTGTAGGAGTGACCTGTCGCCAATGAGCTGCTTTACAAAGCGGCATCATGAGAGTGCCAATCGACGCGACGGTAGAGGCATGACTTCGCACCGCCACCCGCGGCCGCTGCCAGGCTCTCTGGAGTGGCCATCGGCAGGGACCGCAAAGGTCGACGGGTCGCGGCGGTTGCCCCTAGGATCACGCCTACGGCACCACTGCGGATTGAGGCAACGACTCGGTGACGAGTGGAAACATCGTAGAAGTCCTCTCTGTGTGGTTGTTGGACGGGCTCCGTGGGTGCCGGCCACTGCGGCGCTTAGGCCGTTGCGGGTTTCTGTTGATTGTCGTTCTGGGGAGTTTTCCCACCGGGGGCGGGGGGGCACCGCGTTTTCCACCCAGCGCCGTTTTCACGGGCACCTTCTCCACGGGTGTGCCGCTGGGGCTGCTACTGATCATTTTTCAACGCTGCCGCTTGATGCGGTAAACTAGCACGCGGCACCGCATATGTTCCCAGATGTTGAGTAGCCATGTCTTTTAGTGGGTCTACTCCAGAGCTAGGGTGTCCCACCAACCAGGGTTTGTGCCCCCTCGGGGCCTGCTGCTGGTGCTGCCGCGGGCGCGGTGGCGTCGGTGGGCGGGGTGATCGCGGCCTCGGCGGTCGAGATCGGGCCGCGCGGCGACCTCAGGGAGTTCGACGTGCGCGAGCGAGGACGGCGCTTGCTCGAAGGGGGGATGGCAAGCTCAGCAGCGGCGGACGACCTCATTGAGAGCTGCCGGCGGCGGCAGGCGGCGTCGAGTGGTCCTCCGACGTCCTGGGCTGGGTGCGCCCGTTCTCTTTGCTGGCGGAGGTGCTGCCGTCGCTGCTCCTCCGCGCCGTGGTCCTGGGGGTAATCTCCTCGAGGTTGTACTTCACGGTCCACGGGGTGCACTGCACGGTCGGGGGGTCCAGTTCTGGTCAGGTCCAGCGCTGGCCCCCCGCTGACGCTTGTGGTGCAGCGAGCTTGGGCGGTGGTGCCGACCACCCAGGTGTGCGTCTTGGCAGGTTGATGTCAAAACATATCCTCCTCTTCCTCCTCCTCCTCATCCTCCCCCTCCTCCTCTTCCTCCTCCTCCTCCTCCTCCTACTCTTTCT